GCGTTGTAGTAGGCCTACAACAATAATTTTTTGCTTATTTTAAAGCTACAATTTCGCTCTATCTATATGTGAAATTTTGCAATTTTTGAATATTTAATGCTAGTGCTAGCACTACTAAGGGTAGCCATGTAACGACGTTGCAACGTTGTTTTAAGTTTGTTAAATATAGGCACTTAGTGTTTTAGCTGTTAGCAATATTAGCGCGAAATTAGGGCTGTTGGGCGCAAATTAGGGCTGTTAGGGCCGTTGAACAGCCGTTGCACAACCATGCCACGACTGTCAGCAACAGCCAGTCTAGGCCGGATTTCGAAAAACTTTTCCCGATGTAGCTACTAACAATGCTGCTTCACTATACTCTATTGTGCCCCTATGCTAGATCTACTTTCTTTTTTAAGTCTTGCGCTTTGTTATCTCTACTAGTTGCTCTTTAAGCTCCTATACATAAGCCTAAATAAGCACATTTTTATCTAGTATCTCTTTAGCTCCTTTAACAAGCTTTAAGAACCCCTCCTAAGTAGATATTAGTAACTATATAAAGCGCTTACTTACAAGCTTTAATTATAACCTAAATTTGTAGGTATTACTTAGGGTTCTAGATTGCTATAGTGTTTCTAGTAGAGGTATTAGTAGAGGGGTATAAAATTATACTTTAAGCTAATTAGGTACTACCTATATATTACTAGGGACCAGCCCTAATGCCTTAAAGGCCTTTTTACAGTTCTTATACGTAAACACGTTAAAAAACACGTCTCTAAAGGCTAGAAGGAAGCCTTCTTTATTAATATAGAAGATATGTTAGGATGCTAAGGCTTATACGCGTTAGGAGTACCTTAGTTTTAATAGCAATAAACACACTACATTAAGTAACTGTCGGAGCAGATATCATGCCTATTTTACCAGCCAATTCAGGGGTGCAAATGTATGTACATTTTGCCTCTATTTTGGCTGCAACAGTTATGAGCCCAGACGCTGAAGCTGCGCAAGCAAAGGTTGAATGGATTTTCGTGTTCTATGGGTGACCATAGCCAAGGGTCTTGTCATAGTACCTGCTCTATTGGCGTGCTATCTGCAGCAATAGAGCATTACAAAGAAGGATTCACCTACTTAGCACATTAGGCATTCTGCTATGTTGTGTTACCTCTAATTATATGGTCCTGGTTAGACGTGAGGGGGTGTGTTGCAGCAGATATCATGCCTATTTTACTAGCCAATTCAGGGGTGCAAATGTATATACATTTTGCCTCTATTTTAGCTGCAACAATTATTAACATACTTGCTCAAGGTAGTAGTAACGTAGATTATTACTAAGCTAGCTATATCACTAAACTAGCCATTTTCTCTTAGCATAACTAACACAAGTTACTATAACTAACATGGTTGGCAAGCAAGTCAGT